AAGTTTGCCAAGGCAAGCTTTCTATGCCAACTAAATCACAGATTCAGACTAAAAAAATTTTTTATCTGTTCCATAAACTTGGATTTCTATATATAGTAATGGTAAAAGAGGGGAAATTTGGTTCTCTCCCTGACTCTCTTCCCAGATAGTTGATTATAGAAAATAATGAACAGATAACACAGGTAATGAGGTGTTAATGCTCATGAAATACAGTAAGTGGAGCCAAGATGGTGGATTAGGGGCAGCCACCCAGCTGTACTCTCCCAACATTCGTCTCCAAACAACTTTAAAAAAAAATGCCTCAAATCAAATTTTGGAGCGGCAGAGCCAACCAAAGATCGGGGTGAGACATTTTTCTGTCTCAAGAAAACTTAAGAGGTCAGTAGGAGAAATCTGTGCAGTGATGCCAGAGGGATATACCAAAGGCCTCTGAAATCGTAACCTAAGAGCTATTTTCATATAAACTATGGCGATGCTCAGAATCAAATCTCAGAGGCCATCAAGCCCAACCCCTCGTTTTATAGATGAGGAACTGAAGCTAAGAGAGGTTAAACAACTTTACCAGAGTCATGCAGCTAGTAAGGATGATGATAATAATCTATCATTTATATAGTGCTTAATATGTACTAGGCACTGTGCAAAGCACTTTACATATATTATCTCACAACAAACCCTAAGAACCAGGTCCAATTATTACCCCATTTTATAGATGAAGAACCTGAGGCAAATAGGTTGACTTCCACTTTGTTATTGTTATTCAGTCACTTCGATCATGTCCAACTTTTTGTGGTCCCATTTTGGGGTTTTCTTGGCAGAGATACTGGTGTGGTTTGCCATTTCCTTCTCCAGTTCATTTTACAGATGAGGAAACTGAGGCAAACAGGATTAAGTGACTTGCCCAGGGTCACACAGCTAGTAGGCATATGAGATCATATTTGAACAAAAGTCTTCCTGACTTCAGGCCTGGCACTCTATGCACTTAGCTGCCTAGTTGCCCTAGATGTTTGACTCCATAATCCATCCACTCTGCCATGTGGGTATTCTTCAAGGCAGCAACAGGATTTGCCTATAACATGACAATCTTCACGTTCCCCGGGGTGCCTATTACTGACCTTCCCATAGGAAGTGAGTTGGGGAAGAGATCCAACTGCGGTAGCCTTGTGGTGCCATGGGCATTGGACAAGCTCTCTGGGCTCCAGGAAGTTTCTTGGAATATCAACGACTTTTCTGGAAAAATTGAGTCTGCCGTTGCTGAATTCCTGGTCCTCTGGTAAAAAGGAAAAATAGAACCCTAAGAAGTTATTTTAACTTCTAAAACAACCAGAGGCTGCCAGGGAAGGCAGCCTTGGAGGACTAAGTTTCATTTGCACCTGCTGCTGAGTCATCCCCTGGAGTGCAAGTGGCTAGTCTTGGGTGGCAAACATTGGGTCCTCAGCCAACATTCTCAGCAATGTTAAAGGGGGAGGTAGCAAACAGCTAAAGCTATGAGCCAGCACTTTGGAGGTAGTTCTGCCTAACTATGCTCTTCAATTGTATCCAGGGCACACACCTCACCTGAAATTTCTTTCACATGCAACAGAACTTTCCAAGCAATGAAGCAACTTCAATATTTGGTACTATTCTTAGGCAAAGGAGCTATAGAAATGGAACACTGAGTAACTTAGCTAATGGGTGAATTCATGCAATGTAGCAGAAAGAGTCTGGGGCAGAAAACAAGAGTTCCAGTCACAATTCAATTAATTTGCTGGGTGACCTCGGGCCTTTCCCTCTCTGGGTCTCAGCTACATCAATTGTAGCACGACGAGTGTGGGCTAGATCTTGAAATCTCTTCCAGTCCTAATGGTCTAGGAATGAAGATGGAGAAAAATCCATTGCAAATGTATTCATTCCCAGAATGAAAAGTGCCTTTCTTTATGACCTAATTAATCAGATCTAAATCTCTTGCTATGTGCTTTCACCCATTGCTTTACAAACTGGGCAAACATCCTCATTTTAGCATCCTGATTACATCCTGCTATAGTCCTTCCTACTCCAGGCTAACCAACCTTACTATTCTTCATGCAAGGCTTATCCCCTGCTCTGGACTGAATTCAATCTTTCTCTGTACATTTGTATACTTTCACAGAAAACTCAACTTTTCCAGGAAGCATTCCCTGATTAATCCCCCAGGGCTGCAACTACTTCCTTGTTCCTATACTATTCCCTACTGTATTACATTCAGTCAATCATTCTCTGAAATTGAGTCCATGAGACACTATATAAATTGAAGGACAGAATAAACTACATTTCTCATTTGGTCTGTTTGTTTTTGTCTTTGTTTTTTTAGAGCCAGACTTCTTCCACCTTTTTTGTGGGTATCATAGACTCCTTTGGCAGACTGGTAAAGCTTAGAGACTCCTCAGAATGTGTTGTTGCCTACAGTCCTAGTTGAAGGAAAGGCTAATATGATTCAGTTAAGAGGTTAATGAAAATAAAAATATAATTTTTTTCCTATCTAAGTCATGGTTTACCTGAAATCTATCCATAGATGGACCCCACATTAAGAACCCCTGTTTCAGAGGAACATTATTAAAACGGTGGGATAATGATTATTTTTTGGCAGATTTATAATGTCTTTCATTAGTGGGCTAACTTTTTCACAACTCCATGGACTGGAACTTTGTTTTTGATTATTAATAGTCAAAATCTCATTAAGGTCCTACTCAATGCTGCCTCATCATGGTTTTCAAAGGCTATTAGAGTGAAAATTCTGGCTGGTCTCACCAAGGTAGAAAAACTTAGTGTATGGGTTTAGTGAAGGATTCTATGTCTGTTGTCTGAGGACCAGACTAGTTAAGTCCCAAGAGGATCTTCTCCAGAAGACAGAACACTAGGGGACTATTTATTTCCTTTTTTTGTCCACAAAATCTCACAAAGGTGATCTACAAAGGCCTAGAAGGACTGAGCTCTACATTTGCAAACAGGATAGCCACCCTGCTGGAGACGGTCATCTTAGAAGCACATTTTCTTTTCTTGGATCCAATTATAGCCAAGAAACAGCGGTATCTCCTCTTTTAGTCTTACAGGTGTGGTTGGTCCTGGGATTGGCCAGCACCATCGGGCTCCATCCCAGCCTCCAGACTTACCTGCTGTGTGCTTGGAACTCAGAAGAAGCTGTAAGTCCCTCCTTCATGAGATCAGCTGCTTTTTGCCAGTCCTCATCTGCACCCATTCAAATGGAAAGCTTCTCAAAGGGCGCTCTTGATGCTGAAACAACTTGACTTTTAAATGAGTGTTAAAATGACTGGCCAGACAACACCCAATGTGAAAGCTACTTCAGTGATGCCAGAAGAATATACCAAAGGCCTTTGAATTTGTAACCTAAGAGCTATTTTTGCACAAATTTTGATAACACATAGAATCAAAGTACATATTATGTGGTTTTCTCATAAAGAAGTTGGTTATGAAAAGAAACAAACAAGGGCTCACCCTCGGTGCCATGAGATGCAACTCCAATGATCATAACTGGCTGTCACTATAGAAAAAATAATCACATATTCCAACATGCCTATTATTAGTCTGAATGAAAGTAGCTTTATATAATTCTTCAAATAATATTTAATTATTACCACTTAAAAATTCATAACTCCTCTGTATTTTGTTTATCTCTGAATATAAAAATGAAAATTTCTAAAAATAGATTTTCATATCCACAGGTTTTAATGAATCACAAATTCACAAGGGCAGAGAGTAAGAGGGTATACTGGGTGTTCTTTCAAAATTATGTTCTACTAAAATAATAAAATGTAGAGCGAAGATAAATAGCCTACATCCACCCCAAAAGCATTCCTTTTGAACCATGAAAACTTGGAACAAAAATAATTTCACAAAATCTCATTTTAATAATCTTCTTTACAAAGCACAATACTTAACGCTCCTAAATACAATCTTATAAAACGAAGAAAAAAAAAGTTTCCAT